TGCCACAACATACCACGCCCTGTTCTGTTGCCGAGATCCGAGTCTGTTCGTAAAACGAAGAAACGAAAAAAAGGAAAAACACAGAGGGAGGCGGAGGGAGGAGGGAGGAAGGCAGGAGGAAGAAGAAACGAGAGGAATCGCCGTCGCCAAACCGGTAGTAGACGGCTCAGGAGCGAATGAGTTGCCTGCGTATGATTAACACGAGAAACGTGAGAGGCGATGCTTCGAGGAACAAGAGCAGACGAGCGGGTGTTTGTGCCGGCGGCGCTTCCAATTCCAAATGGAAGAGAAAGGTAGTAGAGGGGGCCTATTGAGAACAGGAAGAGCAGCAGAAGGACGGAATAGGCTTAGGTAGGAGGCTGCAGTGCAGCTAAACCGCAGTGCCCCGCGCTGCTTACTTGGCGGGTTGAAACCTCCCCCCGCCCCCGACACACCGTCCGGGGTCCTCCCCCTCCCCCTCCCCCTGCTTCCCGCGGAAACGAGCGGACGCCCAACAAGTCCACGTCGGACCGCACGCAAATTACAACTTTCACGCTGTCGCCTTCCCTGACTATCTGGCTCCCACCCAAAAAAAAAAAACGCCCGCTGCTTGGGAGGAGTAAGGACATCATCCGTTTTCGGGCGCGCTAGCGACCGCGCGCACCTCTTGCGAAACTCCCCGAACATTCATTTTGGTAGCAGAAAGGCCCTCGCGCCACCATTCTCCAAATGTGAAAAACGAGAGGGCGTCGCCACACCACTCTCGAAATGTGAAAAAGACAAAAATGTCGCTGATGCATCTGGCCATGTTCTAGCGGAGAGTTCATTCTCATTTTGCACATTTCGAGAGTGGTGTGGCGATGCCCTGAGTATTCCGCTAGAACAATGGAAAGATGCACCGCCATAATTGTTTCATTTCATTTTTTTTGGTTCTATTTTAAGTAAGCTATTTTCTTCTCTCATCTATCTCATCCTCTTGGTAGTATGCATCCATCTCATCCTCTCGCTTGGTAGTATGCATCTGTCTATCATCCTCTCGTCGCTACTCTAGGGGGGAACACCAACCAATCGGGATCTCTTCCTAGCCCACGGGGTAGGTTGGCAGCACAGCAGTGGTGGAAGAGCCAAGGCTGTACCAGTCCCTCAGTGGGGAGAGGCCCAAACACTCCTCACTTCTCACTTTGCGTACGGTACGGTACGGTTCGGTTCGGCTGGTCGGCTGGGTACGGTAAAACATGGTATGCTCAGGCAAGTATACGGGGGCCAAGTCCCACTTATTACCCGAAATCTCAATTTCCGACCATAGATTAGGAAGATCGACGGCCAAGAATGAAAGATCAGCGTAAGTGGGACTTGGCCCCGGGGATAAGTGCAGCCCCCACGACGCTCCGATGTGATGCATTTACTGCATTCGGGAAATGTGATTGGGGGGCGCAGCAGCCGTCTACGGAGGCTTCTTTTTTTTCTGTCTTTTCTTTCTTTCTGTACCCATTTTATCTTCTTTTTTTTTTCTTTTTTTTTTTGAGTTCTCTAATCTATCTCATCTGTCTTGGTAGTGCGCATCTATCTCGTCCTCTCACGTCGGCGGGGTTTATTTATTTATTTATTTATTTATTTATTTATTTATTTATTTATTTATTTATTTAGATTTGTTTTCCTTCTAAAGATCTTTTCTTCCAACAGATAAAACTTGAGGCACCAAAAAGGCGGGGTAAACAAAAGCCCCCCTGTGTGAAAGTCACTGTATATACTCCTTTGTACCCTATTGACTGGGCTGTCGACAGTTCATTTATGATGACACGCTACGGAGCCTTCGAAGCGAGTCCGAACGAACCCAAAGGACCATTTCTCGATTTATGCGTGTCATCCTTGCCCTCAGGGGCCATGCTAATCTTCTTTCTCTGTATCGTTCCAATTTTAACGGATGTCCCGAAGGACAACAAACCAAAAGGCCGGGGGCAAGGTCCCACTTGCGCAAATTAGGAGATTTCGGCCGTTGATCTCTGCTATGTACGGTCAGTATCTCATAATTCGTGCTAGTGGCACCTAGCCCCGGCACACTCGTAAGGAGGAACGCAAGTAGCTGTAGGCTGGGATTACCCTCGGGGCCCAAGTCCCGCTACTGTAGCAGCGTGGAGTTTCCTCAGCGCCCGAATCGGCATTGGGACGTGTGTTGCACGAGATGTGCAGAAAAAGGCGTTGAGGAAACTCAAACGCACATCTCCACAAACACGTCCAGATTCGAGGGTTGGGGACACTCAACGCAGTACCATGGGGACTTGGCTCCGGGTCTCGGTCCGACAAGAATCGTGACGAGATGGGCCGCTACGGGTAGCAAGACGTACTGAGCCATTAGATCCTCAAGATTTGACGGGCAGACCCTGGGGCTGTAAGATCTGATTACCTGGAACATAAATTGCAGGATCTGATTACCTGGAACTTAAATTGCAGCAAAGAAAATCCGCACTGGCTGTCCTGACGAGTAATATCTGACAGCTTATGTGGGTCAGACTGCAAACTTGCTTGCTCCGGCCGACGGTCATTAATTGTGGAAGTAGCATTCATAGGGCCGTGCGCTCAATTCCAATTCCAGTAGTCCAATAGGCCGCACCCTCCTGCCTGGGCCGGTGTCGAGCATGTGATCAGCGTCTGCTCTGTCTGATCTTGTGGGGTGGGTGAATGAACCAAAGGGCCTACCTCAGTACGTAAGCCAATGAACTGTTGAGATACAGCTTCGAGTTCGAATCCAGATGCAATTGAAAAAAAAAAAAAAATAGTAATTCTGAATTCCCTCAATGGCAATTCAAGATGGTGGCCCTTTTTCAAGAAGAAATAAAAAGATTTGGGGGGTGCAGCGGCCACTTTTTTCTTTTTTTTTTTCCACCCCTGCACGCAAAGGGCCTCGCGAATAAGGTAAATCATGTTGCCCCCCGCTGCAGTGGAAGTCAGAGATCAGGTGGGGCTGCAGGTGGTGCAAAGACCGAGCATTTTGCCAGTAGCTGCGCCTCCCTTTCTCATAGTCCCCCACCCGTCATCAAGTAGCAGCAGAGGCTATGGCCAACACTCTCCCACACACCACACACAACCCACTTGCGCTCGCACTCATAACCGTGTTGGTCATAGACCCCGCTAATACCGATCAGGGGTATCCAGAGGACTATCACAGTCCATTGGCACTAAGTTCGCCACAGGCGGTCAAATATGATCCAGTTTTTTTTTTTTTTTAATTTAAAAAAATCCTTGCAGTGCTATACCTACTGGCAGATCCCTATCCCTATTACCTGGTACAGCTTGACTTTCTCATCATGTGGGACCAGATATAGTTGTGGGGTTTCCCTGAAGACTGCGGAGGCAAGGCCATGAGCTTCAGAGGCCACTCAACCCACCAGTCGGTGAGAAAGATGCATGCACAATGGTCATATCTTCGATAATGAAAGAAACTGTTAGAGGCCTGGAAAAGGGTCTAACGGAGGTCCACGCAGGACCAGAGTACAAAGAAAAACTACCAGGGCCATTACCGTGCTCCGCAGGAAATTTCCTGGAAATGAGGTCCAGCATCTTTCTCCTTTGGGACGAACTATCAGCCCTCAATTTCCCCTGTGCACGCTCGGTTGATGTTTGGTTTCACACCCCACTTGTCCCTCACCCTAGTGCAGCACCTATACAGACTCGTGGACATAGTAGCTCATCCGGACGAGGGTCGTACAAAGCCCCGCCCAGGGCTAGAGTACAAAGAAAAATTACCAGGGCCATTACCACGCTGTCGTACCAAATACCCTTACAAGGGTATTTGGCGTGTCTCCTGCAAGTCACGCCGGTGTAGCCTCGCCCGTTTGACTGCGGGCGGGCGAGAGGGAGTTTTSGTCCTAGTCTGRGTSAGCAGCGYGTGCGGGGTATTGACRGYGAGGCGCAACCATGCGCAGCCTGGGTGWGCAMAACRTYGCGGGCCAGCAGAACRTGCGGCATTTATTCTTACCTTTATTTATTTATTTATTTTGCTTTTATCRCATTTTGAAGTCTYTWGCTCGGTGATYGAGTTTGAGACCGACGTCGGGACCTGCTTCACCTAGGAGCACGCTTTTTCTTTTATTCTGGTGGGCCCGTCCGAATTTCTGCATGTTCGGGTTGCTGGCGAAAATTCCTTTACTTTGCCCGCCTTTAACAACGCAGGGCGGGGAGTTCAACGTGCATGCGAGCCGGTGGGTGATTAGCCCACGAGGCGGAAGAAACCTGAGTGGCGGGAACCCACACAATCCGCCACCCACCTGTGACGCTCAACCTCACACCTTGTGCTGTCTTTCGTTCGGAGTGCTAGATGCGCGGAGAGAGGCCCAGAAAAACAGCAAGATGGGGTGTGCCAAGGATTTTTGGAAATTGAGTGTGGGGACACAGACGGAACTGAAATCGCCCGTGTTGGTCCGATGAAGTAAGTCGGTTGCTTTCGCGCGTCGCGGGATGCGCACGCGGGCACGGCGCGAAAAGAGAAAAATCCAAATTCAATCCAAAAAGTATTGTCGAGCTTCCCACCACGCTACGGTCCGTCGTTTAGAGCAGAAGGGCTTCGGCACGCTTCGCGTGTCTCGTTTTCGGATCAAATCCCGTCGTCGCTTGCTGGTCAGTTCTGAGTCTGATGTGGAAGGTTGCAGACGAGTGGCTCTTTCCTTATGCTCGTCCTCACTCCGTATTCGGTAGTGGAAGCCCTTTGCTTCGTAGCGATCGAAACGCTGGCCCTTTGTGCACAGGGTTCGAGGCCAATGGGGCGCCGCTGTCGTCCACGGAATGACGATCAGCTCATTAAAGGGGAGCAATATTGAGTAGGTTGGGAAGTGCGTGTCGATAATAACAAACCCAGCCTCTACGAACCCTGAATAACGGTTTGCCGGAGGGAAGTAGTATCGCCCGCCGATCTGTGCGACAACTTCTCGTACGTCCCACTCGCATACACGTGTCCTTTCCTCGTTGTAAGGAAAAGGCCGTGTTGATATGGGAGGTACGGGAGGCTGACGCCCGATCAGATGGTACTTGTCAGTCCACGTATCAATCAATTGCAAAAACCTCGAGACGTCATCAAGAAAAGAAAACACTCGCGCAACCCCCAATCAATCCTTTTCTACACGAGAGAGAGAGAGAAAACACTCATCAGCTTGATCATACATGTAACTAACGGACCGGCCAGCGGCTCGGGTTTAGTGAGCCAACGCGACGTTGATCCGAGGCGCCTTGTTTCTCGAGGGCACCCTATGACTCGGGTGCTGAGGTCGTGCAGCATAAGGCAGATGGCATGCGCAGTATATTTAGAGCTACAGATCTAAACACTCTTGCATTCTCGAACAAAATCCTGACAACAATCATCTAATCAACGCAAAGAACCACGGCGCTCCATACATTCATTCACTGTAGACTCGGAAGGTGCGAAAATGAGATATGCGCAGGGACAAAAAGGATGGATCGCGGAACAATACACACACATCCACCGTTCACAAGACACGAAGACGGGGCTCTTTTATAGGGGGACTACCCAGGAAACTAATGGAAGAGTTCCGGAAGAAGTTATTTCACACAGGAATAGCATGCAGACTCATTCCCATTAGAGAGAGAGAAAGAGATCGAGACTCGACATCATTCAAAGAGAGAGAGAGAGAGGAGGACAAAATCTGAGAAGAGGAAGTTCGGCGTTGCCGCCGTACACTCACGCCAGAGATAGAAATCCGTAACAACAAAGGCGTATTCGCCGTGGATTCCAATATGGCCCTAGGCCAATCACTCACTCAACTCCAATCATCGATACTCATACCCTCACCAACGATCCCGGTCCCACCACTACGATCGTCACCCCGCTGACGTAAACTCTGCGTGGTTCGCCCCGATCCCACAGTCCGTCATGGCGATCAAGCGCGCAACCGGCCAGCCTATCGTCAGCCCGACAGGACTTTCCGACTCGCACCAAACACTCTGCCTAGCCACTGCTTCCCAGAAGCTGGCTTGAGAGTCGAGAACGTAAGAGAGATTTGCGGGCGCGCTTTCGGAATTTATAGCAGCGAGGAGGAAGCCAAGGGAAGAAGAATGCAGGGTGAAAGTCGAAGTGTAAGAGGAGAAGCAGGAGGAGAAGACTTTGAGAGGAGCGCTTCGCGGAAGCCATGTTGATGCTTCGAAACTCCAGATTAACCAATCAGAATCGTCGCGCGGTAGGCAGATTGTACCATACCCCGCGTCTGATTGGTGGGCAAGAGTAATCGAAGGATCGACCAGACTTCACGAGCTTTGCTTGGAGAGAAGAAAAGGCGCGAGAAGTAGCGCAAGACGGGTCCAAGATTCAGATTATCAAGAAAGGGGGAATGGGCGCGCAAAGAACTGAGCGGGAGAGAGAAAGGAAGGGAGAAAAACAGTTACGAGGAGAGAGGAGGAGGAGGAGGGGGAGGGGGGGGGGGGGGAAAAAGGAGCGCGGGAGAGGGCGATGCGGGGGACAGAGAGGAGAAAGCTTTTGCATGCGTGGCACCGTCAACAAAAACAAAAGAAAAAGGCACCGAAATAGTTACAGCTCGCCTACGTCCTAAACCAATTCAAAATTGAAATCACCACATCCGCGCGCGAAAGAGCGACGTGGGAAAAGAAGGTCTTACGCTTATCCGTATCCTCACAAAATTTCGAGAGTTTTCCCCAACGAGACCGAGAACATTCACACACAAAAAGGACACGTCGAAGTTCCGCTTATCCCGGACTTCCCAACTGTCGGGCCCAATTCCCAGTTCCTATGTATTTCCCGAAGTGCAAAAAGAAAAAGCAGAACCCGGGAATCGTAAAAGCTTCCGAAAGATGGGGGCCAAAAATGCGGCACCCGAAATCAAGAAAACAAAACGGGGTTTTTATGGGGTTGGTGTGATACAAGCAAAAGAAAGGGTACGAAAGATAGCACGGGTTCGACAAGTAGTTTGTCACATATGTGACGCGCAAGGGGTACCAAAATTATGCGATCTCCTGATTGCATGTCATGGCGGAGAAGGAGAGAGAGAGGGAGATAACAGAGTGATGCATGAGGAACCAAGCATATCAACGAATGATTCGGCCAGAGTCCATGTTGACGCCAACTTCGATTGCAATATTTTGTGGGCTCGTGCTGCTGGAATCATCGATGGTCATCCAGGTGACGCCATCATCGTCCGCCGGTTCTCCGTGTGCTCTGCACCCCCGTTTATTGCTGCTCGTCGAATCAGAACGTAGGTTGACGTCATCGTTAATGGCGTGATCTTCGCGAAGCTTACTGATTCATGTCGCTTTCCGCTGCTGATTGGATGCAGTGGGGGGGGGGGGGGGGGGGGGGGGGGGGGGGGGGGGGGGGGGGGTAGGGATGCGATTGGGATCTACCTCCTAGTTGGAATGGGCCAATAGAGGCGGTACATGGCGGGGATCTCTCGGGGACGTCGGGGAGGAAGTGGGGGTAGGTAACGATTCATCCCTTCTACCATCACCGGAAGCTCCTCATATCGGATGATCCGGTGGAAGTGAGGGAAGTGATCGCCGTTGCGAGGGAGGGAAGCGAGGTAATCGCGATAGAAGGATGAGAGGGTGCGGAGAAACGCCGCTCGAAAGAGCTCGTAGTGGCGGCAGGCGGGGATTGTCCCCGTGGCTACGTAGTAGACTTCTACCACGTTGCATCGTTCCCATGCAACACTGAACAGCAGGATATGCCAGCAAAATGTGGGGGCAGCGGGCTGAAGGAATGCGTGGTGGTGGATGGTAGCGAGTAGGCGGGTAGAGTAGAAGTCGCAGAAGAGATGGGGGAGGAAGGGATGAAGGGGGAAGGTGACGGGGGTGCAGATTTATTCGAGGGTGAGAAAATCAAGGGGTCGGCGGGATAGCGTCCGATGACGAAGGCCTATCGCCCGCATCGGTACGTGGGCGAACTAGGGGACGGGTGGGGCTGGAGGAGGAGGGCGATCGACTCCGTCTCAGTCGTGCGGTGCTTGAGGTGGTGGCTGCAAGGTCGCCAACTTCGGGATTTGGCGGCTCCGGATCTCTGGTCGGATCGTTACTGATGCGCAGGCTGGCTCTGCTGGCGAACTCCAGTTGGCGTTTCCTGATGGCAATTTCTTCGCGCTTTCGCGTTGCTTCCGGATCTTCCGCCTCCATGCCCGTGCGCGCCGCTTCCTCTGGCAAAGCTTCCCACTCAGACTCGGTTCCTTCTTCTCCCTCCTCTTCTTTTTCTTCTTCACTCAGCTCGCCCTCGCTATACTCGCTATAGCTTCCCTCCTCTGACGTTTCCTCGTCGTTGTCTTCTTCGTCATCGTTGACCACCACTTCCTCCGCCTTCGGATAGAAGGCGTGAGGGATGATGTCGTACGACTTCAGATACTCCTGTCGGGATGGTAGAGTATCTTCGTCTCTCAGCTCCTCTAAGCACGCGGTCCACTGAAGGTATGGATCCAATGATCGCTCGAGAATGTACGGAGCAGGGTTGTCGTCGCTTTCCGAATAGATGTCGGGCGAGAGGTCGTCCGCCAATTGCACGATCGGCACGATGAGCTCCTGCGCAATCAACTGGCGCCACCCCGACTGTTCTGATCCAAAGAGAAAGCCAAGAAGATCGCCCTCCACGTTAGTCCTCCAAGCTTGGATGATCAGCAGCTTCGGATTTTCGATCCACGCAGGATGCTCGCTGGTCTGCGTCCACGTCACCTACACTCTGGCCAAGCAGAAAGACAACTCATCAAAAGTTTCACGCCACAGCCGCCAATGCCTAGGGTTGATAAGAGGGACTGAAAGAGGCTCAAAGGAGAAGGAAAGAGAAGGATGAAGATCGGATTGCCAAAAGGTGGGGAAAAGAGAGGGGAGACCAAAAATAGAGAGAGGAGCGAGAGGATCGACGTGGTTCATTAGGGACGTGGGAAGGGGACGAGGGTGGGGATCGCAACTGGCCGCTCGTGCGGAGAACGGCGAATGTCGCCAAGATCCGGTGCAAAGATTGGGATGAGGTTGTACCCAGGTCGGGCGAGGACGTGCTGCCACACGTTGGACACCTGCTCCGTCCACTAGCGCAACGAGGTCAAGATCGCGGTATGCCACTGCGGATTGACCGAGCTGATGTCGCCGCAGAACGCCGCAACCGTGGTGACGTGGCTCATTCTGGGAGCCGCTCGCCGATGAACTGCGATTACCTCCGCAAATACCACTGCGTGAGGACTCCCTTCGATTCGAAATGCGGCGGCAGCACACACATCCACGTCGCATAAAAATTGCACCAAACGCCGAAGATCCGTATTGAGCCGCGAGTGACAAACTTGCCGAATCTCTGAGATGTGGCCACGTGGCTGCAACAGCTGTTCGTCAAGAGCCCGCTCCATGATGAAACTCATGGCGAGGTCGGAGAGGAGGACAAAGGACAGGAGGGAGAGAGAGGAGAGAGAGTTAGATCGTCGTTGTTCTCCTCGCTTTCCGAGGAAGAAGATGGAGGAAGATCATAAGGAGGAAGAAGACGGAGGAAGGAGGTATGTCGGACGATGGGGACAAAGCTATGGCTGACACTAGCCTCAGGCGCGATGCGCACCGTGTTGGCGCCGTTAGGACCGAGCCCGACAACGCGAAAGCAGCCAGAGAACTTGAGAGCGAGTTTGCGGTCGCGTGCACATTTACGTACCTGCACTAGGTCCCCTAATTTATATTGATGCTGGGGCCCATCATTTCCGTTTCGAGCCTCGTAGCTACGGACCTGCCTACCGTGGGCCAAATCGGTCATCCTTTGTCTTTTTCGGGCTAGCTTCAGAACAGCCAGTTCCATTAATTCGGTGTACCTTTTGGCTTTGGCCTTGAGGGCTGTACGCGTGTCTCTACCCCCTGGTTCAGCAATTTCCGAGTTACCCCGGTAGTCGACACAGGGGAGGCTATTAGTACCAAGCTGAAAAGGGGTAAACCCCGTGGACTCGTGAGGGGTGACCCGGTCGATCCCGACGATTTGATATACGATCTCCGGCTACGGAAGCGAGTCGTGTGCCGCTAAATTCCTACGAAGGGCGGTTTTAATCATACGGTTGGCGTTCTCAGCCAACCCGTTCGACTGGGTGGGGTGCCGTATGTCGGAGTGTGACGCCCCTTTGTGCGAGCAGTTCCTCTACTTCTCCCTTAAATTCAGACCCATTGTCGGTCAGAATTTCTTCCATATCTAGATGGGTATAGAGGAACCGATCGATGTACATAGCTATTTCTGCGGCTTTGCGGGTCTTGCAGGGGTAAACTTCGATGTACTTGGAAAAATGGTCAATTAATACTAAAAGGATAGAATATTCACAGCGGTTTGGGCCAGGTGGCACATCGATATATGTCGTGTCCATACTGACTCGCTGGAAAGGACGCTTTACTTCCGTTGGTACTATCGTGTTTGGTCCCCGAATTGGGGCGCGATCAGCGGCACAGACCAGACAGTTGGCGACAATGTATTTGACATCATCTCGTATGTTGGACCAGAACCATCGGTTCTGGTCTACAGTTGCCTCCGTGACACGTATCGCGAAATGAGCGGCCTGTTCTTCGTGAGTAGATCGGATCCAATCATATCTCAAGAATGGATGGGGAACCGTCAACCATGACCCCGATCCGTCAGTTTTACGCTTTTCCAAATGACCGTTGATCCATCGATAGTTCCGAGATCTCTCGGTCGCCCTACGTCTGTTGTGTTTGGTGAGGTGACCGAATGATAAGCCCGCTAATTTTGCCAATAAAATTTTATCCGTCCAAACCTCCGCTCGTCGGTATTTTTCGTCGTATTCAGGGCCGTCCGTACGGGCGGCCTCAAATCGAACCTCCGTGGGGAGTTTGTTCGTTCTACACAGGGGGCACCTCCATTCCTTGCTACTCGTCCGATATCGAAGGCCCCGTGCGCACGATTGACACACGTGGCACATTCTACCCAGTTGTAGCGGACCCACCAGGTGTGGTGCTCCGCTGGTGGTAGAGATGGAGATGGAGGAAGAAGGGGGGAGTAAGATGACGCACAGCGCAACTCCCACGCAGGACTCCAACGCACGTACTCCAAAAATGTGCAAGTGAAGAATGAGCGTGAAAACAGACAATGGCTGGGGTATACCCCAGCGGACTGACGGGACTGGACTGGACTGGCTGGTACCGACAGAGGTACCGGCCTGGACTGGCCTACTCCGAATACAACACAGGCCTGTGAGAACAAGCCAATGGGGCTGGTCTCACAGGCCAACCCGAGGTCCTCTACACGATCCTCGGCCTGTGATGGATCGCCTAGATACAAACATGCTTCCGCCAAGAAGCGGAACTCTACCAAAGAAAGAAAACCTGAGTAGTCTAGGATGCGGAGCAAGCTCCATGCTGAGTCCATGCGATGCAACCTAGGATATAAAATGTCACAAAACAGCAATGTCACAGCTAACAGCCTATGTGAAAGCAGAAGCAACAACTAACATACATGTCCTAGGAAAGCAAAAGCAACTAACTAGCATACATGTCCTAGGAAAGCAGAAAGAAGTGACAACTAGATCCTAGAATGTTGGAGGCACTAGCCTCTGACTAGTGTATAAGTCCTAAGAACAACAAAAGCAGAACAACTAAATCCTAGAAATGTCAGAGGCAGTAGTCGCAGTCTGCGAGCAACAAAGCAACAACAAGTCTATCATATGTCACATGAAAAGTGTGTCGCAAACCAAAGGGTGGGATGGTCTCTGAGGGTGGCGAATGCAGCCTAAGGGCCGAAACTCCTAAGGGCATCCACACATAGATAACAGGGAGAGACATGTCATCAGGCTCAAGGAGGGTAGAGAACTGGGAGCGAACATAACCAATGACCCTAACAGATAGACCGTCAGGGCGGGTAATGCTCGACTAAGGGGTGACCGCTATGGAGGGTCGACCATGCAAAGGAACAGGGGAGCTTGGTATACGGGGCGCACCTAGATGAAGCATGCGGGGCTGCCTAACTAGGGCGTGAGGGCCGACGAAGGGTAGAAAGATGATGGGTGAGGGAATCATGCAAATGACTCCTAAAGTGAAGGAAGTCGGAGCTAGATCCGTAAGATGGGAAGACAGGGCAACGCTACGGTCCCGATGCCTATGCGTATACCAAGGGAGAGCCCAACTCAGAGGAACCCGGCTAAAGGGAGACCATCATGCGACACAAGCAGGGTACTGTACAGGGTAGAGTGGTGAGAGAGTGGCGATGTCTGAAGTAGGGAGAGCTGATCGTGATGAAGTCCATGAAGCTGCCGATGACGTCCACGATGAGAAGTCTGGAATGCCGTCGAGGAAGAGCTGCAACGTCGACGAGCCGAAGTAGCAAAACTGGAGTGGATGGAGTACTGAGAAGTCAAGGAAGTGGGAAGGTAAGTCAGAGTCAATCGTCGTATCGAGCAGGACGACGACAAGTGCGCTGTGGACGCTCAGAAGCATCCGGCTGCTGCTGAAGGTCTGCCTCAGATGGAGCAGGCTCGACTTCAGCAGTCTCCTCAGCCGGGGGAGAAGGAGGAGGGTCAGTGGGCTGAGGAGGAGCAGTGAACCCAGCACGACGAGCACGGTCATAGGCACGTACCAACATGCGAGCGTGCTGCAAGTGCTCGAGGGGCTGCCAGGTAGCCTCCTCATGAGGGTAACCCTGGGTTGTCGTCGGTGACTCGGCGACCAATGATGTCTGAAACGAGGAACTCCTCGTGGCCGTCCACCATGAGGGGTGGAGGGCGCTCGTATGGTCATCCAGTGAAACGCTCAGACGGTCTGCGGTAAGGACGCAGTAACGAGACGTGGTAGACATCATRCACACGAGCCTGGCGTAGGTAGTCGGGCAGCTTCACACGAAAGTTGACCGGGCTAGATGCCGTATCAGAACCGACGGCCTGGAGGATGCGGCATGGGCCAAAGAAGCGACGCCGAAACTTGCGAAGCGTGTCCGCTTCGAGCTGTAAGTGGCAGGCGTCGATAAGCACATCATCACCGACTTTGAATGGATGGTCCATCCTCGATCGGTTCGCACGTGCTGCCATGCGAGTCTGGGAAGCGGCTATGTGCTCATGTGCGGTCTTCATGATCGACATCATGTGTGCAACCCAATCATCCAGCTCGGGACAACTCGTGTCGGGGTGCATCTATGACGCTCGAAGAAAGTCCGCGGAAACACGAGGGTGATAGCCGAGGTCGCAATAGTAAGGCGACATCCCCGTGGCTGGCGAGACGGCATGGTTGTAGGCTATCTCCGCGTGGGCAAGATGAAGATCCCACTGCTGGTCGTCACAAACAATCTTTCGAAGAATATCTCCGAGAGTCCTGTTCGTGATCTCGGTCTGACCATCAGTCTGAGGATGGTAAGACGAGGAGAGGCGGAGCTGAGTGCCGTATACTTCGTGGAGCCGTCGCCAGAATCGGCTGGTAAAGCGCTGGTCACGGTCAGATATGATGCTCAGAGGTAAGCCGTGGTCACGCACGACTCAGTCAAACACGATGTCGGCGACCTTAAGTGCATTGATGACATGGCGGCACGGAACAAAGCGTGCACGCTTCGTGAAGCGGTCGACGACGACCAGGATAAGATCATGACCGCGAGGGGTCGGAGGACGAAGAGGACCGATAAAGTCCATCGAGATGGACTGCCAATGACCCTCAGGGATAGGAAGAGGCTGGAGCAAACCATAAGGCAGGTGGTTCGCACTGTTCACCTCCTGATAGGTGGGACACTCTGCGACGTAGTCCTTCACAAAGTCCTTGCGCTTCGGCCAGACGTACAGGCGGCTCACACGATCCAACGTCTTGTGGAAGTCCATATGACCGGCAGCTGCCTGGTCATGGAACTCGGCTAGTGTCCTGTGGAGGGAACGCAAATACGGGGCTCTCTGGTGCCCTGTGAACCGTGCCAGTATACGAGACCGTTGTCCCCGAGAGAGTAGTTCGGGACGGTCTTGCCACTCCGAAGGGTCGCGTGGATGTCGCGATAGTCAGGGCAGTGGCGGTACTGAGTGAGAAACTCGTCGATCACCGAGTGGTGGACGGTGGTGACCGAGATGGAAGAGAGTTGGATCTGCTCGTGGTCATGGTCAGGGCACCGGGATAGGGCATCTGCTACCCGATTAGTCTCACCCTTGATGTGCTCAGTGGTGAAACTAAACTCGGATAGGTCGCGCCACCAGCGAGCCTGTCGAGGAGTGAGCATCGGCTTAATCAGAAAAGCCTGGACAACAGAGTTGTCCGTCCACACCGTGAATGGTGCCCCGTGCAGGTAGTGCCGCCAGTGCCGAGCGTCATAAACTACTGCGAGAACCTCACGTTCATCAGCAGTGTAGTTTATCTCGGCGGGCAAGAGCTGACGGGAGTAGAAGGCTATCAGACAATCACCTGWGCGAGACTCGACAGTGYCGTCCTYGGCGATGRTAGGRGAATAGTCAATAGARGGCTCGTCAGTAGCTGGACGAGTAGGCGTCAGTCGGGAAGCAGTGGTAGGGGTAGGTGGTGGGAAGCGAGGGATACGAGGATGAGAGGAATCAGGAGAGGAGGGGAAGACCTGAAAAAACACTGCTCCTACAACAAAGTCTGACACATCGGTGGTAAGGAGAAAAGAGCGATCAAAATCGGGTAGGTGAAGAACCGGTGCGCATGTCACCGCCTTCTTGAGAGCGCGGAAGGCGTCCTCGTGGAGGGGTGTCCAAGCCCAGGGTGGGTTATTCCGGAGGAGGGTGGAGGTAAGGACGTAGGAATACCTAGCGTATCCCCGGATGAAGTTACTATAGTAGCTGGTCAGACCTAGGAAGCTACGAAGCTACTTGGCGGATGTGGGGGCGGGCCACTCCGCAATAGCAGTGATCTTCGCGTCGTCCATGTGGAGACCCTGGTCAGACACGTAGTGTCCTAAGAAATCCACTTTCTGCCGGGCAAAGCGGCACTTGCTCAACTTGGCATAAAAGCCATGTCTGCGCAAGCGGTCAAGGACGTCGTGGAGATGTTTGAGGTGCTCCTCAATGGAACGACTGTAGACCAGGATATCGTCGAGGTAGACGAGAACGTACTGCTCCAGGATGTCCCTGAAGATGTCGTTCATCGCCCTCTGAAAGGTGGCGGGTGCATTGGTGAGGCCGAATGGCATCACCGTAAACTCGTAGTGGCCGAAGCGCGATTGGAACGCTGTCTTCGGCTGGTCGGCTGCAGTGACGCGGATCTGATGGTAACCGCTTCGAAGATCAATCTTTGTAAAGAAGCGGTTGCCTGCTAGGCGATCGAACAGCTCATCGGAACGAGGCATGGGGTAGCTGTTCTTAACCGTGTAGCGGTTGAGATCGCGATAGTCGATGCAGAGACAAAGAGTTTCATCCGCTTTGCGAGCAAAGAGGACGGGTGCACCCCACGGGGAGTTGCTGGGTTTAATGAAACCCTGTCTCAGGAGCTCCTCAAGTTGACGCTTGAGTTCGGTGGCCTCGGGAATCGAGAGTCTGTAGGGTGCCTGGTGGTGAACACGATAGTCAGGCACAAGCTGAATGGAGTGCTCGACGTCACGCATCGGTGGGATGCCGGCGTACGAGAACGACGATGGGAAAACGTCGTGGTACTCTCGGATGAGGTTACGAACTACGGGCTCCAGGTCAGCCGTATATCGTGTGAGTTCCTCAGCGTCAGAGTCAGCGCCCGACGGCGGCGTGGACTCGACGAACGGCGGAGGGACAAAAGTAGAGATGGGAGCCATGGAGATAGAGGGATGATCTAGCTCCAGAGGGATGAGCTCGGCGTCGGGACAGGGTGGATCATAGTGTAAGAGATCCGTCACGTCCACCATAAAGAAGGTGACGTCGTCCTGTCGAATGAAGTGAGCGAACTGCCGAGGCGAGGTGACAGTGATAGAGGGGGGTGGTGTGGGCACTGAAGGCTTCGGGGGAGGAGGATCGGGGCGTGGTATCGCTGTGGTACCTATGAAAGGTATGCGATATGTCTGTCCACACTTCGTTTTGAGAACGAGAGTGTTGGTCGCTCAATCGGCCTCGGTGCTGCGGAACCGACGAGACCACGGAGTGCCGAGAATGAAGTCGTACCCCGTCTTCATCACATCGAAATGTGTAGAGGAGTGGTGGCGACGAGACACCGGGGAACGATCAGTCGGCTCGAGAGTGAGGAAGAAGGGGAGGTCGGTGACCGTCTGATCAAAGAAGTGCTGGGTCTTGTCATCCCCTAGGGTAATGGAGATGGGAGTCGGAGACCCTGTCGTGGGTAAGCGGGCTTCCTTCACCACGCGTGGGTGAATGAAGTCGCCCTGAGAACCGTTATCCCACAGCGCTGAGTACACCCTCGTGGAGGTCCCGAGTCGTACTGGGATGATCGGGAGGGTGCGATCAGGGTCAGAGAGGATGGCGAGAAGGCGACGCAGTGCAGCGACATGGAGGGTGAGTCGCTCCTGATGAGCCTAGAGCATGCTCAAGTCCAGATAGAGGACACAACGTCCTCGCGAGTAGCAAGCTGCTCGCTGCAACGGGCTGAGTAAATGGCTCGACGCGTCTGTAGTCGCGGTGGGGAAGGAGGGGAGACGGTGGTCTGCGGAGGCGCAGACGGTACTGCGACGGAGGGCTGAGTATACTCTGTCGAGTCCTGCGATACCTCAACTCCAGTAGCGAGAGGGGCGAACTGCGACGGAGATGTCGGGAAACCCACTACTGAGGAGGGCGCAGGTGTACACTGCACCGTGGCTAGGAGGCGCCGCGGGGACGTGAGGCGCCGGGGGGGGACTGAGCACGACGCTGACGAGAAAGATCAGCGTAGTGGCGGTCGAGGGCGGTAGTGTAAGGGCATCGCGAGGAGGTATGACCGTCCAAGCGCCAACGCAAACATCCATGTCGGCCCAGAATAGCCGCGCGCTCCTCAGCGGAAAGGACACCGCGAGGAAGGACGAAGCCCTGAGGGAGGTCCTCCTGAGGGACCTCAGGGGGCGACTGCGTGCCCGAGAGAGGGCGGAGAGCGCGAGCTGAAGGCGCTCAGCTGCAAGGAGGGTCGAGTCCTCCAAGTGATAGTGGACGGCCTCGCAGAGATCGAGGTCGTCGATGTGGTCACCCTCAGGTGACAGTGGGGCAACAACGTCCTGCTCACCATACTCCAGCGCGCTGAAGCGGCGCGAGAAGTGGCGGCCTTGCTGCGTGGAACGGCGGGGGCGACCGCGGAAAGGGGAACGGCGCTGGGAAGTGCCGTGAGAGGAGGAGGAGGTGTAGCCCGTGCGCTGGGGCTGGGAGGAGGAGGTGGGGTGAAGACGGGCTCGCATCCGCTGGTGGTCCCTGGCGGCCTCGTAAGCCAGTGGGGCCGATGTGAACTCGTACCGCCATAGCTCGGAGCGGTACTCGAGCGGAAGGCTGGCCAAGAAACGATCGATAAGGGCA